GCTCATCATAAATGTCTGGTGAACATGAAAAGTACCCAGTGAATATGAGGCATGCCCAATGCACATCAGACATGCCCTCTGAACATCAGCAGTGCTTGATGCTCATAGTTCACTAACAGGGTTTCATTGTCATTCTCCAACGTAGCTAGTTAACGTGGCTTAATGGTTTGAGTGTCGGACTACAATTCCCAGCTCGGCCATGAAACCCACTGAGTGACCTTGGGCATGTCACACTCTCTCATCCTCAGGAGAAGTCAATGACAAACCTCCACTGAACAAATCTTGCCAAGGAAACCTCATGATAGGTTTGCCTTAGGGTAGCCATAAGTCAGAAGCGACTTGAAGGCACACAACAACAACAACAACAGAGCTGGAAAAGTTCCTCTTTTGAGGACTGCAACTCCCAGAATCCCCAGCCAGCATGGCCAGAGTTCAGAGACAAGGAATGTAAGATTTAAAATGTAATGTTTCTGAACTTTGGTATAAATGACATGAAGTCCCCTGTAACTCTAAAAGTAACTAGAACAGTTACACCATAGAAAGAGTGGAGTGTAATTATGGTTGTATGAAACCAAGTTACGTCTTCATGATTGGAAGGAAGTAATTAATTGACGATTAACATGTTTTCAACAAGTTACTTCCAGGATCCTGTTTTTTCTTCTCCTTCATGTCCTTTCCTGGTGTACTGTAAATAATACGGAGAGACCTGCTTAATGAAACCGCTGTGAAAAGATGTCTCTTTTCCCCTTTTGGAAGCTGTTTGCGCGGCGGAATTAATTAGAGTAGCATGAAGTTTTAATTCAAACACACTGTTACAGGAAGGAATATTTTTCTCCTCTCAGTTTGCATCTTACATAAATGTTTCCTTTATAGTGCAAATGACTCTGCGGAGAATGGTTTGGCTGAACTCTCTTAGCACTTTTCCTGGCAGTTGGGCGCAAAATGGTAGCTGGCTGCTGATTTTTAAAACCCAGTTTTTCATTTGGAGGGGTCCTTGGTATGGCATCCAACCCATCCAACATTGCTCCCTCTGTTGCATCCTTTTTGGCTTCAGTTCTGTTGTTGTTATTTTTATTTATTTATTTATAACCCACATTTTTTTAAAACCTTGGAACTCAAGGTGATTTACAGAGTTTAAACAGATACAGGTGTTATTGTTGTCGTTGTGTGCTGTCAAGTCACTTCCAACTTATGGCAACCCCTTTACGACAAACCTAACCAGCAAGATTTGTTCAGAGCGGGTTTGTCTCTGCCTTCCTCTGAAGCTGAGAGAGTGTGACTTGTCCAAGTCACCCAGTGGGTTTCCACAGCCAAGTGGGATTTGAAGCCTGATCTCCAAAATCATAACCAATACCTTAATGAATGTAGTCTTTGGGTTCCTGCGCATTCCTTCTTTAACAAAGGATTTGGTACCAGAGACAGAAATGATATGGAAAGAGTAGATTTTGTGTTGTTGTTGTTGTTGTGTGCCTTCAAGTTGTTTCCAATTTATGGAGATCCTAAGGTGAACCTATCATGGCATTTCTTGGCAGGATTTATTCAGAGGAGGTTTACCATTGCCTTGCTCTGAGGCTGAGAGGATGTGACTTGCCCAAAGTCACCCTGTGGTTTGATGACCAAGCTGGGAATCAAACCCTAGTCCTAGTCCAACACTCAAACCGCTATGCCATGTTGGCTTGGTTCCTCCACCACAAAAAGCAGTTGAGTATATTTGAAGCAAACATTTAATCCAAATCTAACAATAGGCACATTGGAAATGAAACAACTAGTTCAGATGGATTTGTGCCTTGGTCATTTCCAACTTATGGTGATCCTAGGGCGAACCTATCATGGGGTTTTCTTGGCCAGATAATGTTCAGAGGGGGTTTGCCTTTGCTTCCCTCTAGGGCTGAGAGAATGTGATTTGCCCAAGGTCATCCAGTGGGTTTCCATTGCTGAGCAAGGATTCGAACCCTGGTCTTCCAGAGTGCCAGTCCAACATACAAACCACTATACCATGCTGGCTCTCATTCCTAGGGTTCCCATAAGTCAAAGTTGACTTCATGGTACTTAACAACAACATTATCTTACTCTGACTTTCCACTGAATGTCCATCTTTCCCACAACCTATATGTTAAAATATAAACTGTTGATTTATTTATTTAAGAGAGAGAGAGCCTATGCATGTGAGACAAGAGACGGCATTGATCCCTTCTGCAGCATTTAGCCAGAAGTGGGACAATTTTTTATGCAAAAAAGGAAACTAAAATAAAATAACACCCAGAACCGAGCATCATTATAATTCATTTTTCAGAACACCTTTTTATTGCATCTGCTCCCAAATTAAAAACAACAACAGCGCTAAATCGGAATAATCATGTCTCCTGCTTTGGAATTTACATAACCAATTGAGATTCTGGCTGTTACTTTCCCCCCCTCTCTCTGCATGAAGAGGAAAAATCATTTTTAAAAAATGTGACATTGTTGATGCAAATAGGATTTTAACTCTTTCAGAGTTTAGGGATGCGAACCTTACAGAAGTGTGTATCAGGGCCATAGAGTCAGTCGTGAGTACTGACTCTGACTCGAAAATTAAAACTTAAAATAACAATATGTGGTAAATAGATAATTTTATACAGCTATAGAAAGCCACCATGGCATAGTGGCTTGAGTGTTGGATTACAATTCTGGAGACCAGGGTTCAAATCCCTGCTTGGCCATTAAACCCATTGGGTGACCTTGGGCAGGTCACACTCTCTCGGCCACAGGGAAAGGCATGGGCAAACATTCTCTAGAGAAATCTTGCCAATAAAACCCCATGATAGGTTCATCTTAGGGTAGCCATAAGTCAGAAATGGCTTGAAGGTACACAACAACACCTCATAAAGCCAGTGTAGTGTAGTGGTTTGAGTTTTGGACTAGGACTCTTGAGAGTCAGGGTTCAAATCCCCATTCAGCTGTGAAAACCTACCCTGAGCTGGGGCAAGTCACACTTTCTCAGCCTCGGAGGAAAGGAATGGCAAACCTCCTCTGAATAATTCTTGCCAATAAAACCCATGATAGGTTTGTTGTAGCATTGACATAAGTCGGAAGTGACTTGAAGGCACCCGGAAACAAGGAAAATGAAGTTAAGAGGAAATCCCCTAAATACTGAAATTGTTTGAGTGTGTATGTTAAGCAGTGAGCCACAGGAATACATCACATGTGATCAGATTTGTGATCTGCTGCTTGATGGACTTTGTGAGCCAATGTTGTTGAACTAGGACTCCATGGGATCTGGATTCAAATCCCAGCTCAGCTGTGGAGACCCATTGGGTGACCTTAGGCAAGTCCCACTCACATCCATAGAAAGCCACAACAAACCCCTTCTGAAAAAATCCTGAGGGGCAGCATAGTGTAGTGATTTTAGCATTAGATTAGGACTCTGGGAGACCATGGTTCCGATCATTACTCAGCACTGGAAACTTATTGAGTGACTTGGGCAAGTCCCAATCTCTCAGCTTCAGAGAATGGCAATAGCAAGCCCCCTCAGAAGAAATCTGGCCAAGGAAAGCCCACCTTAGGATCACCATGTCAAAAATTACTTGAAAACACACAACGACAAGAGTGCTTCAGTTATCTGAACTTCACTTAGTGGTCAACTTTACCCAGTGGTCAATCATAGATTCAGTTTCATAGAATCCTAGAGTTGGAAGGGACATCCAACACAAGGGACATCCAACCCAATCTCAACCATAGATTCAGTTTCATAGAAT